TTATGACATATTCAGCAGCCAACTGCAAGCTGTAAGCAATTCTTCATTTAGATCGGAAAATGGATGCCACAAAATGAACACTTTTCTTCTTTCTATCTATCTTTCTAAATTTAATTCTAGTTTACTCTTTTGTTTTTAAGTACAAACGATAATCTAAACTACATGGGAGGGGGATTTCACACACACACACACACACACACAATTATGATATTATGGGGATTCGAACATGAGACCTCTGATCCTTAAGTAAAGGCCAATATTTCCGAAGAAGAAACAAATAATGAAGCAGTATTTGATAATTTATGAAAAGCTTAATTATGTACATGCCCCCTGTGCTTTCCAACTTATCTCAGATTACCACATGTGGTGGAAAACGTCTCAAAGTACCCCCCAACGTGCAAAAAACTGTCTCACGTTACCCTTTCCGTCAGTTTTTTTGAAGTTCCGTTACGAATGTTACTGTTCATCTCCCCCAAAATTCCAGAACAGTAGCCCCTCCCCTTTGTTACTGTTCATCGCTTATTTACCCTCCAAAACTCAGAAATTTCTCCTAACCAACACAACTAGCAGCAAGAACAACTCGAGAGGTTGAAAAATCATACCTGGATCGAAGAAAATGGTGCTCGGAATCGCCCGAACGAGCAATGGAGATTTTGGGTAAAAACCGGCCAATTTCTTGCTTTTTTCGGTGATCCAGACGACGGTTGGCAGCGGCTGAGATGTGAGGGTGGTAGAGGACAACGTGCTGGTTCTTTTGATATCCATGTCGTCGCTTGGGGTGGCCGGAGGAGGCGATGGCAGCCCAAAAACTGGTGCGATGAACAGTAACAAATGGGAGGAGCTGCTGTTCTGGAATTTTGGGGGAGATGAACAGTAACGTTCGTAACGGAACTTCAAAAAAACTGACGGAAAGGATAACGTGAGACAGTTTTTTGCACGTTGAGGGGTACTTTGAGACGTTTTCCACCACAGGTGGTAATCTGAGATAAGTTGGAAAGTACAGGGGGCATGTACATAATTAAGCCTTTATGAAAAACTTGAGTGAAGACTTCTTCATTGCATGAACGAATGGGCAATAGACAAATATAACACATTACGTGTACTCATCCTACCATGTAACAAGAAAGTCCTCTCACGTAAGTTTTTATGGATTTACACATGATTAAGTATGACGACCCCCAGGTAAACAACAAATTTAAGGAACTGCTTTGTTGAAAATACAAAGTAAAATGCTTAGGCCTATTACAAGCCAAATCGAAACGTTCCAATAGCATAGGTCAAACACCTTTGATTATAGTAGTTAATTTTGGATATTTTTTTATATTAAGACCGCCATAGTATAGTTTGATATCATAGCATAAACGTGAACCAAAAGAAGATGTCAACGCATTGTTAATTGGGGGCTCAAAGATTGAATCAACCATATGCAACTTTGATCGCTTAAATTAGATATTTGTTCTACATAGGATGTCTTTTTCTTCCAAGAGAATGAATGATTAAATTATTGATCTTCATCCCACAATATAATATAATGATTTAAATTCTTTTTTTTTTTTTTAAGATCCCCTTGAGAATGTATTTCTAAAGATCAAATTCAAAGTAGAATTCGTTGAACAACTATCTTTCACTCCTTTGTTTTTTAGTCAATAGGGAGTGAAGGAATCAAATTTAGAAACTCTTTCACCGTTGAAAAGAGAATTAGTACAAAACAAATAGATTTAGGGCATGTTTGATAATCCTTTTTTGTGTGTTAGAGTTTAGAGAAAAAAGAGGGAGAATGAAAGTGAGAATGAGAGTGAAGATAAGATTGAGAGGGAAGATAAGAGGAGTTGATGGGAGGAATGCGTAACAAAAGTGAAAACAAAAACTAAAAACTGAAATCTATTTCAAATTGTTTTTACTTTCAAGTTTTTGTTTTCACTTTTGTTATTCATTCCTCTCATCCTCTCTCTCAATCTCATTTTCCTCTAATACTCTAGCACAAAAAATAAAAAATAAGAACTAAAATTAAAATGGTTATCAAACGGACTCTTAAATTTCGAGAATTTATAACTAATTAAGAATTTGAACTACAATCACTTCAAGGTTAAAGGGCATGAATTATGAATTTATAATCTTGGAAATATATGAGCATGACAAAATCCAAACTAAATTATGCTTTCCCAAGATGCCAAACTCATCTTTTTAATCTCCATCCCACCAAACAAACATGTTAAACAAGATGATGAGCAAGCTTAGTGCACTGAACATCCAATTTTCCGAACCCACTAATAAAAACCCTCGAGACAAAAGCAAACAGCCAAATTCAGGTTCACATGGACGGTGGATGGCTGGCTCCTTTTTTTTTGACTTGGAGAATAAATCAGGCCACAATGATGAGCCTCACATGGCTGCGAGTGACCTGCACGCTCTAATCACAGGCCATCATGAACCCAATGTCAGGCTGGTCCCGCATGCATCAAATCCCAACCCCACCACCTACGTGGTCACTAGCTATTGGTCCACGTTTGAGGTCGTATCTAAAATTCAATCACAGTGGTATCGCATGCACATGGGGAGCTAAAGATTTCCCGGATGTCACACCAATGATGACCCAGCGGTCCAAGCCACAATTTTTATTTTTTATTTTTTCATATTTATTTTGTTCCATGGATTATATTTTTTTGATAATATCCTAATTTATAAATTTGTAGGTAAGTTTCCTTTGTACCTTTCATTGATGGATTTTCTTTTTCTTGAATGACCATTTTAAATATATTGAAATTGCACTCTGGGATCGGATGTCTTCAAACTTGTTCTCATTTGGACTATAAGGGGCGCAGTACGAATTGGTACGCGATACAAACACCTAGAAATACCACGTTCGAAGGATCGTCATGACATGACTAATGCAACATTTTGGAATCTAATTCGCGGTTTGATTAATCTAATACATATTTAGTACGCGTTCGTACGTACCATATAAAAGTCGCATCACTTCACCTCTCTTGCTCTGTATAATGACAAAAGATCCCTGGAAAATGTAAGCTTCCCGCCCCAAATTGGACCTCTATATCTCATGCGAATTTTCTTGCAACATATGCAAAGTCTACCACAAAATCCACCCTTCCCCTTCTTTTGATGTAAATAGTTTGATGTGTTGACAAACAGAGAAGCTTCCTCAAAAAAATTCGAAAATAAAAGGAGAGAAAACCGATAAAGGGAGGGGTAATCAAATCATTATATCACCATTCACCAGCTTGTTTCTAATGGGTATCCAATGTAATAATAATTGCACAGTAGATTGAGAGAAAAATGACAGTGAATCATGCAACTAAGAAATAAAAACTTTATGAGTAATAGGAAAACCTACCCTACTTATATCATATCGTTCAAAATCAGTTAACTTTGAATACATGCAATCACTTACAGACTACGTTTAGAAAATTTAAAGATTAAATTATTTAACTCTAAATACGTGCAATCACGTGCAAATTAATACATTTGAGCTCACAATTTATACCATGCCGGTTATTTTACCGGTGGGCCATCCGTGCTGGTTGCATGCAGCTAAAGAAAGTTAGCTGAAAGTGGGACAAAAGGTGACAAAAAAACACATATGCATGCATGTAATTATGCAAATATAGGTCGGGTTTTGGCAGAAGTAAAGAAAGATAATGGAGTTTAGTCTACGACTCTAATTAAGGAATTTGAGTGAGGGTGTGGCTCGAGATTAATTGAAGAAGGTTTGTTTGCGTTTAGGGTTTAGATTAACTTAATTATATTGTTATTGTGTGTTTTGGGTCCCACTTACAGTTAAAGCCAGGCGGGGTATATGGGCCGCTGATTACGGGATTAAGTGGGTCCTACAACCCACGTTGGATGCTCTCTCATCACTGTCTTCTTGTTTTGTAGGCCTTCCCTGCCTCTTTGCTCATTAGGATTAGGTGTCTACTTTTTTTACTTTGGGCACCCCCCCTCTTGCTTGCACCCACTCACCCACACGCTTTTGCGGTGCACTATGCTTGCTTAGATCTCTTATTAGCTAGTGGGGCTTTAGATTGCACTGCATATGTGTATCCTTCTCGTGCCCAATGAAATCTTGTGTGGGCCCCCGGAGAATGTCCTCAAATCACAGCCGCTGATCACGCCTCAACTTCAGACTGACTCAAAGTCACTCTCTCTCTCTTTTGAGTCCAGATCTAAACAAACCCCTTTACTTTTCTCGTGTACCCAATTAAGGATTCAAGATTACATTTCATGCCTAATAGCCCTACCTCCTCTTCTGTGATGTCACATGACCTTACAAATGAAGTTAGCATAGTAGCTTCAATGTTATTCAAAGCATGTACATAAAGCGAAGAAGGAGACCAATAATTCAGATACCAAAAAGAATAAGAGACATGTAATTCAAGTATAGAAGAACGAATTGTAAACGCGACGTTAGCGATAAACTCAAACATTTTCATTCAAATTTTACGACACAAAATATACGAACTCGCCTAATGAACATAATTTGTGGATGTCTCTCGTAATTTGACACATCAGCATTGCCAACCTTATTCATGGTTTTAGTCAGTTTCCTCCGCGGTACGCATGAAACATCATGTGGGTTGTCAGAATGTGCCTTGACAAAAGACTAAGCAAAACCAGTATTAAACATCATTAGGTGTGGAGCAAAGGAAAAATTGAACAACCTCTAAATAAATTTTCCGGGAAAAATAGAGAAGAGAAAAGTAGAGAAAAGAAAAAGGTGAAGATACCGACACTCGCCTACAAGAGCTTGCATAAACACAACCTCCCATCAATTGGGAAATTGGAGAAGAACATAGGCAGGCCCCACACTTATCAGTACAAGGTGCAATACAATTAGAGAGTGACATACAAGCGTTAGAGAATGAGAGTGGGGATGAAATTCATTTTATTTATAGTTCTACATTTATGATGGGTTGAGTCTGAAAATTCCAAATATTGCCCCTATAGCCACCTCCATAAGTACTCCTTCACTCCCTTCTTTAATCCCTCACCCTATCAGTACCTCACTGACTCCCTCCCTCTCTCTCTCTCTGTCTTTCCTTTTTCTCTCTCACTTTCTGTTTGTTTCTAGGGAAACTTCAGAAAAGAAAAATGGGTGTGGTGAGTGCTTCTGCTTGCCTTGCCTCTCTACTTATCTCACTAATGTGGGTCGCTGAAGCAAGAATCCCAGGGGTGTACAGTGGGGGTGCATGGGAAGCAGCTCATGCCACCTTCTACGGAGGCTCTGATGCCTCTGGCACCATGGGTAAGTCAAAAGGCTCTCATTTTCTTTCAATGCACGCATTCCCTATATTTCTAGGCAAAGTTGAACAAAACCAGTCAAAGATCTACAGCCAAGAACTTAATTAAGCTAGCTTACTTAGTATTACTTAACTAGAACTTGTATTTTTCAGGTGGGGCTTGTGGATATGGAAATCTCTACAGCCAAGGCTATGGCGTGAGCACAGCTGCACTGAGCACTGCCCTCTTCAACAATGGCCTCAGCTGCGGTGCCTGCTTTGAAATCAAGTGTGCAAACGACCCAAACTGGTGCCACTCTGGAAGCCCATCAATTTTCATCACTGCCACCAACTTCTGCCCTCCAAACTTTGCTCAACCAAGCGACAATGGCGGATGGTGCAATCCTCCCAGGCCTCACTTTGACCTGGCCATGCCCATGTTTCTCAAGATTGCCGAGTACAGAGCTGGAATTGTCCCTGTTTCTTACCGTAGGTTAGTAAAGCTCACATGCTCTGTTCTTTATGCTCTGTTTTTGTGCTCTGTTTTTAGTTTTGGTTGTTATTCTGTTTCAGCAATTTGGACATTTCTTAGAGTAAATTAATACATGGGTTTTTTTTAAGAGTGGTGATTTTCCCACTCATTTTTCTCCTATTTTATCCATTTACACTCTTTTTTTATAACTAAAAAAGGAGTGTAAGTGGATAAAATAGGAGTGGGGAAATCATTGCCCTTTTTTAATGAGTAAATTAATACATGGGTTACTTTTCAAAAACAAGCTTAAATGCATTGATTTTAGGTAGACCACTTTTTATGCTCTGTTTGTAGGGCAAATCTTGTTTTTGGATAATTTTCAGAGTAAATTAATACATGGGTTTGCTTTAAAAAAAACAATTTAAATCAAATTAGACCACTTTTGTTTAAAGTATTGTTGTGATCTTTCTCTATCTTGTGGGTCAGGCTTGTGGTACAGAATGAGTTGGACTCTGGTCTGGGTCTTTATTGCTTTTTGCAGAATGTCATGGTTTCTATCAAATCTTATTACTGACCATGTGTGACAGAGAGCTCACTTGGATTTTAGTTATTCGTATTTTTTTTTTTTTTTTTTCTATGGTGGTTGGGTTTAGTTAATTTCGAGTCTTCGACGTTTACTGGTCACTTTCAGCTGTCTGGCTCTTGCCCTGTTGGTCCCAAACGCTGAAAGGAAATCTAGTATTGGGTAACATGAATAATTAACTCACAAGAAACACTCTAGTTTTAACATAAGCTACTAGATTTCATCAAAGTTTCTCTGCTGCCATATGCCATCCTTGGCCTTACTCTAGGCCTATTGTTATCCACTAGAAGAACATGCGTCTTCGTCCCGTGATCATAATTTACATTTTTATTTCTTCTATATGATCATGTGACGAAGAATGTCTCGTGTCAAAATAAGTTGTAATATGTTAGATAGTTTGATATATTATAAATGAGTGATCAGTAAACGCGCTACAAATAACTTTATTTATTATGAATTGAAAATCTGAGATAACACACTATGTCAAATTCTCGATTAGTTGGTATGATTTTTAATTGTGAAGAAAAACTTGCATTAGCTACCAAACCTAGCTTTTCCCTGGATTATGGTCTTTGGTCTACGGCACGATCTGGACCGTACGTACTCCTTTTTGACTACTAAATCGTATGCGCATGTAAGTCTCGGTTTTGTACGTAGAAATCAAAGACCATACCCAGCACAGTTCCCAAAAGTCCGAGACCCGTTGATCAATATGGAAAAGGGCATTTCATTGACGCCCACCTTAAAACACGGTCCGCGATCCACGTAAACTTTCACCAGGTCGAAATCACGAACATACCCTTATGCTTTTTGACTTTTTGCGCAGGGTGCCATGCCGCAAGCGCGGAGGGATCAGGTTCACAATCAACGGCTTCCGTTACTTCAACCTGGTTTTGGTAAGCAACGTCGCGGGTGCAGGGGACATCGTGCGGGTGAGCGTGAAAGGATCCAAGACTGGCTGGATGAGCATGAGCCGTAACTGGGGTCAAAACTGGCAGTCAAACGCCGTTCTGGTTGGTCAATCGTTGTCCTTCAGGGTCAGAGGCAGTGACAGGCGCACTTCCACCTCATGGAACGTTGTTCCGGCCAATTGGCAGTTCGGTCAAACATTCACCGGGAAGAACTTCAGAGTCTGAACAACAAGGAGAAAAAGTCCACATATTTATGATTTTCCCGCCATAATATATGTTTTTCCAATTTTACCCTTTCTTGGCGCCATTGTGGTGTTCTTACTAGATGCTGTTTTTGACTGGGTGTTGGAGAATGTGAAAGTGTGTTTAGTGGGGAGGGGGGTTCAGGAACAACTTTGACTTTTTGGGTTGGTGTGATTTTGTGAGTGTGTGGACAGGGGAGGAGGGGCAGTAGGGTAAAAGTAAAAAAACAGGGTAACAAGTGTAAGGGAAATTAATTATTAAATTAAAAACCCAAGTGAGGAAATTGTAGAAGAGGAGGTTGAGGCGGCTGCAGAGAATTTGTAGCCCGCACCCTATAAATACTGGCAAAGCTAAAGTTGTAGTATATTATGATTTATATGCATGAGAAATGTATTTCTAGTAGTAACTTTGTTATTTTCTTGTTTTGTTTTGATTTACTTGGAAAGTATATTTGGTTTGTTTCAATGGAACTTGGCTTTTTGTTAGTATTCAACCAGCTTTACATGGTTTATATTGGATTTGAAAATGAAAGGAACTTGTAGCTCAAGTGTTTTAGACTATTTATCTCTGTATCCGAGGTCTTAAGTTTGATTTCCGTTACCCCAATATCGCTTTTATTGGAAAATAAATATCGCATTTTGAGATATTTCCTGTTTATTTACTACTTGAAATATTTACAAAAGCTAAAGATTTTTGAACCCCACAAATATAATGGTAATTTTAATGATTTATGATGGCAAATGGGTCAATCGGTGAATGTGCACTAACCAATCACATGGGTGGGGTGTAAGTAATTGATTTTCGCTTGGCTAATAAGTTATTTTCGAACATCTGCTTCTGTGCTTTACAGAACAAACATCTTTGGATTCTAACAACCCCAAAAAGTAAAACCTCTCGGTGCAGCGGGCTTTGGATGCCTTATGAACATTTCTTTTCAAGAGGGAATCTGATCTTGATAATTTCTTGCTCATCATAAGGAACAACTTTTGGCGTTTTTGTTTCAATGGGTTGACATTCAAGACCTTCCAATCAATTAGTTAAAGAAGTACATAAACAAATGTTTTTTGGTATAAGAACAGAAACATACATTATTCAGAGTTTAATATCAATATAGATGCTCACAGCCTCACTGCAGTACTGCAAGTTATTGATTTCCACCATAAAATCTCCTTTCCGGCTGGTGGTGGCTACTTGTTCCAGCTGCATGCTTCTTCGCCATAGCAACAACAGCATCAGCATGCCTCTGCCCTGCACGATGATTATTGAAATCTGTCTCACTAAGACAGACCACATTACATATAGCACAAGTCCTTAAAGTATGGGGTGCTGCCCCACTTTCAAGAACCTTCCTTCTCTTAGTTTCCAAATCCTCTACAGGTTGATAAGCAGCTTTCCTCTTACTATTTTGTCCAGGGATGGGTTTTTTGCCTTTCAACTTATCCATGTTCATCTTGTGCTTTTTTCCCAATTTATGCTTATCAAGTACCTCCTTGGTGTCGCAATAAACATTGCATATGTCACAATGAAGTTTTGGAGTACCATTTCCAGAAGCTCGAGAAGTCGGAGTACCATTTCCAGAAGCCCAAGCAGTCGGAGTACCATTTCCAGAAGCCCAAGCATTGGAGTTGTTCCACAAGGCGGCATTCGGATTTGCAGTAGCAAAGTGTCCTGTCCCAATTGATGGCACTGAGATACCCTGAAAGATGGGAGGGTGGTTAATTTTGACATGAACAACAATAAAATGAATACAACAATAAAATGAATACAACACAGACATGCATTGATTGATGTAATCTGAATAACACCATAAAATCATTCTTCCATCAATTGACTTTGACTGCTAACAGTTTGATTTTGTGAAAACAACATGTTAGATCTTCGGACAACAAAACACAAGACGTATTAACTTTAATGCAGAAAACAAAAAATTGCAACCAAATAATTGCAGTGGAGAACTCCATAAATCAGCTGACAAGACTAGCAGTGAAGAGCCCGAAATAATTGCAACAAAACCAGGCCAAATAACTACAGAATGGAGAAGAAAATGTGAAAAGAGAAGAAGAAGAAGTTAAGAAGAACAAAGCTTCCTAGTTTTGCTCTCAGAAACTCATTTTGGCTCACTTTGCCCCTCAAACTACACCTCGGGTTTTCAAATACCCAGCAACATTCATCTCTCTCTTCTCTTTCCCTCTCACTCCTCCAAGGATGGAGCCATGAAAGCGGGATGGGCTGAACTAATTTCTTTTCCTCAAGGACAAATGCATATGCATAGATATAAATGTATTTCTATAACCAAAATTTATTAATTAAGGCTAATTAACAATGTATAACAAGATTCAACAAACTTATACCTTAAAGGCAAACAAGAGAAACAGCAAGTGACCCAAGGCCCACAAGCTAACAGACCACATATCAAGAAGGGCACGCCCAACAGACAGCACAAATGAAGAAAGGCTACAAGATGATACATACGAGGAAAGACTACTAGAGGACACAGCCAGGAAACAATATACTAGTACAGAAACTAACAAAAACTAGAAATACAAAACCCAACAACTAATAGATACAAAGACTATTCACAAGCTTATCAGTACTGAGGAAGGAGAGAAAAAACGAAAACCAGAAGCTGTGCTGCTAGAGTGTGGAGTAGGCTGGGCTAAAAAGCTAAAATTTCTAGAAATGATATTTTTTCCTGAGATGACCTGGGCTAGCCCCCACACTGTACCGTCCCTGCTATTTTCTGTGCTTGATTTGCTAAATACATAGGTACGGATTTTTTCTCTTATTTATTTGAGATTTCAACTATTCTAAGCAGCAACATAAACTTTTTCTGTTCCTTTGCATGATTTTCCGAAGAAGGAAGTGGAGAAGGGAAACTTGTGTGGCTATATAAGCTTGCTTTAAAACTTGGAAATAAATCCAGGGTCTTTGGAAATGAAGGGCCCATTTGATAAAAATATTGTTTTTAGTTAAAATCAAGACAGATCATGAAAGCAAGGTGAGAAATGAAATGATAGATAATTGTATTGATCAACAATTAAATTCCACAAATCAACATTTAAATACACACATGAAAAGCCCTGCCAGACCCATTCCTTACCATCTTCCCTTACTTCCCTCACCTCTCCTTTAAATATCACTCCTCTAACCCACTCTATCACATCAATACCAACACAAAACGGAAACAGAATAAAAAGTGATAACAAAATCACAGAAATCTACCTAAAACAGATATTCAGCCTTTTTTCCAATTCCACCAAAACTAATTAAGGATTAACCTTCCCTGACAGAGAGTTTGATGTTCAAAAGCCTCACTGCACTTGCTTCTCAAATGTGATTTGATGCCTCAGTTTACTTGACAAGGTTAACTGACCTGGTCGCACGTTTTTCTAGGGTGGGTTTTTGTTTGGGTGGGAGATTTAATATTTGGAGTTTATCTTGATTAGTACTTTGTTGCTTTGTTTACCATTGCTTTGTTACTTTGTTGCCCCTGTTTCTGGAAAATTTTCAAGTTTGATTATTAATGCAACGAATTTACACTAATTAAGGACTCTGAATGATCACAAAATGGAAACTAGTTGAAGTCAAAATTTGCTAACATTCATATATATACATATTGAGGCGTTTTACACAACCTTATATCAATGGAAATTATTCACAATCCCCAAACCAATTTTATACGCTCAGTGTCTTATTTCAATCTTGGGGAGCTGCAGATCCAATGGGTAAGAAAATGAAGTTATAGCCATCCGCCTTTGAGAACACAGAAACAACAACGTTAATGCAGCCATGGCAATGGCCCTTTTGCAAGCACCCTAAGACACTTCCTTCCAAGCTAGATAGTATGTTCAGGACTGTAAATTCAGCGTTCTTTGATCCCCTTGATGGGGTTGAAACACCTGAGCCGTTATTCACAACTCATCACTAGAGTCAACAAGTTTTACAATAGTCTGAGGACTACTTTGATAGGGAGTCCTTGGAAATGGTGGTCTATGGGGCAAGGTCAGAGAGGCTGTGTTTGGAGCCAAAAGAGAATGAAGCATAGCAGGCAGGAAGATAGAGAGAGATGAGAGAGAAGAGAGAGAGGAGAGAGGATGTTGACAGACGAAAATGTGCATCAAACTTTGCCACGTAGGGACCACATCAACTTGGTCAATGGAAAAGACTATAGACTTGAAGGAATGGGGTATTTTGAACACAAGGTGTAGTTTGGAGGAGAAATGAGTTCCAGGGGAAAAGTGAGACACGTAGCATAATTGGGGAGCAAATGTGTAATTAAGCCTAATAAATATTCTTCCATTGATTGAATCTTACTGCTAAAAGTTTTAATTTTGGAAAGCAGACAACATGTTAGATATTCAGAATCACCTACCATACATATGTTAGACAACCCCTGGCATATATTAAGCTTACAACAGGGACTAAAAATCTATGCGTAGATGTACGTTTAACCCATGACACGTTTGCTCCCATACACACGAAAAGTGAATCCACCCTTACTCTTGAATCAATACAGTCCTGGTATGGAGTGTAGATCAGTTATGTCTTTACACTGGATATGTTCAGATAAATTTCTGATAGACAGGGTGTGTGATCTCTAGTTTTCTACATAAAAATTCATAAGAAGAGGGATCCCAAACTTCAGTTTTTTTTTTTTTTTTTTGGTTGTGGGGGAAGTCCTCAAAACTCAGTTCAACCATAGTTACCTATACAAAAGACAACCACGTACAACCTTTAACAAGTACAACAGGAATTTCCGATTAATCCTTTTTCTGTTATTTGAATATCCAATAAGTACTGGAACAACCAGAACAAATGTAAAAAGAAAATTCATGAGAAGGCTCATCCCAATGGGTCAATGGCAATATATTTACTCAAAAATCCAGATCACACATTCAAACTGACATGAAAATGCACCATATGTATGTGGAAATTCATGATCCAAGCAAAACCAAAGTAAATTAATTTAAGTTGTGAACAACAAGAATACCATTTGCTGCAGGTTGACCTCATGCTGCTCAAGACCTTTCTTATGCTCTTTCTTAAGATCATTCCATTGAGCTTCAAATTTCAACAAGGCTCTGCCCTGCTCTAAGAATGCCTTCTCAAGGTGGTACCTTAGGTCCTGAAAGTTTTGATGCAATTTTGCTATTTAACAGCATAAAATGAAAAATAAAGCTAGTAAGCTACTACAGGCCACAAAACCGGACTAAAAGAAATGAAATTGAAAACAGGAAGCCCTTTTCAAAGGCAAAGGGCAACATGGGCATCAAATTGAAACTCAGACTCACCAATGGCTTTATCCATTTCTTCTGAACAGCTATCCATTTCAAACCTGAAATACAAAAACACAGCTGGGTTTGGTGTTTTTTTGGCCGGCTATGCTTGTCTTCGAAATTGCAATTGGTAGGAACTTGGAACCCACATGAAAAATAAGTGTTCTGGAAAATTGGGCATCAGAGCATTTGATTGAAGCTCTTAACTAGGAAA